ACTACGCGTGTCGCGATATAACTTTAAGATCGTATTCGAGCAGAGTGACGCGCTACACTTTGATAAAATTACTGACTCCACTCTGCATCGGTCTTCTCATATTTATTTGAATTATTGAGGTCTCTGACCTTCATATTCGGCGCTTCTCGTCAGCGTTCCGCTAATCGGTCGAGGGCGTGATCGCGTAATCGCGTCGCGCTCGCGGTTTTAATATTATATTAAACTTATTATTAAACTTATTTCGCCGCGCGTTCCGGTAATCGGTCGAGGGCGTGATCGCGCAATCGAGTTGCGTTCGCGATTCATTTATATTATTAATTTATATTATTCTTATTTCTCGTCTTCGTTATTTCTCAGTTATGGCGCAATTGTCACTTGTGCAATTTAGCACTCGTGACACTGAGTACATATGCGAGGGTCTACCCCTGCGAGAAATAAATCGCTTGAAAGCGGCAATGAAAGCTTCGGACGTGAGATCACTCACTAATTCCAAATGGACCGCCTTCGTGGCGAAGCACACAAAAAGCGAGACATAGGACTTGTGAATTCGTGCGTTGCGGCGCTTTCCCTCACGTAACGAGAGTGGCCCGGCATAGTCGACGCCGCAGTGAGAGAAAGGCCTGGAAATGTTGACTCGATCGGCCGGTAGCGAACCCATTATTGCTTCTGAATGCCTGGGTTTTGCCCTAAAGCAAATTATACATTTTTGTATTATTCCACGAGTAGTGGATCGCAATGATAGTGGCCAAAAGCGCTGTCGGACGGCAGCTATCGTGGCTTGTAAACCTACGTGCAAATTTCGCGTGTGTTCGCGTTCTATGATGCGCTGAGTTAAAAGATGTTTGCACGGCAAAAGCACTTGATGGCATGCGTCGTACGAAAGACTCGAATTTTTCAACCTACCGCTGACTCGCATTAGGCCGTCCTTATCTAAGAAAGGAGATAATGATAGGATACTACTTGAAGTTTGTACAATGCCGTTCTTAACTAAAGCTTGGTATTCGCTGTGAAACGTTTGACGCTGTATTGTTCTACAAATATAATTCAAAGCGATCGAAATTTCGTCGTGAGATACGAAGTCAGACACTGCGTAGGCGCGGTGCGCCTTGGAAAATCTTAGGTAGTACGCTATGATGCGGCATATTTTACTTAAATTTGAATACTTATTTAGTAAGTCCCTGACAATACATGGATGGGAGATGGAGACGGCAACTCGGACCTCCTTTCGTTCGGGAAGATCGCTTTCTAAACGCACGAAAACGCTGGGCGACCAGTGTTCTTCATCCCATTTCAAAAATTCGGGGCCGCTCCACTACCTCTCAGCATTGACTAAATCAGAGGGATTTAGTCCTCGTGACAATATGTCGGCAGGGTTGTTGGCGCAATGTGGCGCCAATGCTCGATCTCTGTCAGATGCTGAATCTCACCTACTCGATTCGCCACAAAGGTTGACCACCGCCGAGACGGAGAAGATATCCAATTTAATGCTGTGGTCGAATCCGACCAAAGATAAACAGGCCATTGCGAAAACTCCAGTGAGTTTTTAACCTTGTCGATTAACTGCGCTAACAACAAGGCAGCTGACAATTCTAGTCGCGAGAGCGAGATAGCCTTGAGTGGGGCGACCTTGAGCATAGCAAAGTAGAGCGATATTTGTTGTGTCCAAGCTTGGTGCGAAGATATATGCAAGCTCCGAATGCACGCTGGCTGGCGTCACAAAATCCGTGTATCTCCAAAACTAGCGGATGGACATTGGATTTAACGCATCGAGGAATTGCTAATTGATTCAACGCCTTCATTTGGGTCTTGAAAGTGACTGAACGCGTGTGAATTTCCTGAAGGACGGACTCGTCCCATTGAATGTCTAATTGCCACAGATCTTGCAAAATGAGTTTTGCGCCCACAATGACTGATCCTAGCAGGCCGAGTGGGTCGAAGTATTTTGAGACTTTAGAAAGCATGAGCCGTTTTGATAGAATGCCGATTTCAGAGTCAGGCAAGAGAATTGGAACGTGTCTTGACAATGATTTCACTGCATGCCAAGAATACAAGAGTCTGTAATGTTATCTGTAATGGCAACTGGCTCACGGCCGCGTTTATCTGTTTCCAGTAACTCCAGGCAATTGGAAGCCCATTTGCTTAACTCGAACATCCCTGCTCTTAATAGTTGAATGGTTTCGTCGCGGATTAGCTTTAATTCGTCAATGGAGTCTGCTCCAGTGAGCATGTCATCGACATAAAAGTCGCGAAGGACGCATGCTGAACCACGCAGAAATTGATGAGTGTGCTGATCTGCCAATTGCTTAAGGCACCTAGTGGCTAGAAATGACGCGGAAGCTGTGCCGTAGGTGACGGTAATGAGCTCAAAGGTATCGACGTTCATAGAAGAGTCGTTGCGCCAAAAAATTCTCTGTAAGCGCGTTTGAGAGGGATGCATTGAAATTTGCCGATACATCTTTGTAATGTCAGCTGTGATGACACAAGAAAAGAAACGGAATCGCAGTAAAATCGAAACTAAGTCCCGCTGAACGTTTGGGCCCACTAGAAGTGCGTCATTCAAGGACACGCCGGAACTGCTACGACAAGAAGCATCGAAAACGACTCGGATCTTGGACGTTTGTCCGACTGCTTTGAATACACAATGATGAGGAAGATAAAACGATGTCGGCTCTTCTGGAATAGGTGGTTCTAACCGTCGCATGTGCCCCAACGATTTATATTCTTCGATAAATTCCGTGTATCGAATTTTGAGTGCGGGGTTACGCTTGAACCGTTTTTCAATCTCCCGTAAACGTTTGAGAGCTGTTTCACGAGAATCACCGATTTTCTCTAGCATCTGCTCCTTGACCGGGAGCTTGACTATATATCTGCCTTGAGAGTCTTGGGACGTGTTGTCCAAAAAATGACGTTCACAGATATTTTCTTCAATTGTGTAATTGTTCGAGGGAATGGATCTGTTATCCATTTGCCACGCGCGGCTGACATGATCGTGTAATTCAGAGTTGGTTATAGACGCGTAAAATGAGTGGACCTTCGCAGGGACTGCTGCGGTAGTGCCTAAACGACCCGATAGAATCCAACCCAATCGTGTTTTTTGAAGAGTAGGATGTTTGTCTGACGACCTTATTTGACCGACGCAGATCAAATCCCAGAATATCTCAGCTCCGATTAAGAGATCAATATCTGACGATATATGAAATCGTGGATCGGCTAAATGAATGTTCCGTGGAAAATCAAATTTGCCTCGTTCTGTAGAGACCGGAGGAATTTTGTCAGTGATCTGATCAGACACGATGCATTCAATGACCGCGGCGTAGGAACTGACTCACGATTGCAATTTGATCGTCGCGACGTAATGAGATATAGCTACCGTACCATTGACGCCGGAGATCGAGATATTTAACGGATGCGTTTTTAAACCGAGAAGTTCTGCAAATTTTTTAGATATGAAATTCGCCTGCGATCCGCAGTCAAGAAGTGCTCGGCACGGCCTGAGCGTACCTTCGTTATCACAGACGTGAACAACTGCAATCGAAAGCATAACATGTTCGCTGACAATTGAGCTTGAAGAATGCATTGCCAGAACCGAAGAGGAAGCGGTTGGCTTAGTTGCATCTTCCTTGTCCGTGGATGCCTCCGTGGCTGAAGATGCATGAAGAAGCGTATAATGCTTTGCGTGGCAGACCTTGCATTGACCGGAAGTACATTTGCTTGACACGTGAGAAGAAGACCGCAAACAATTAACGCAAAGCTTGCGGCTGCGAATTTCCGAGGCTCTCTGAGGAACTGGGAGCGCTACGAAAGTTTTGCAATAGTAGATGGCATGATCGCCTTGACAAAAGTGACATTTGACTTTAACGGTAGCCGCGCACGAAAGTGATCGTTTAGCGTTTAGCTGCAATTTCGACTCAGCCTTCCTTGCGAGAGCGGAGCTCGACCTTGAGGTGGCTTCAAGCACCTGACAGCGATGAGCGATAAAATCTAACAGCTGTTTCAACGTTGGCAGCTCATTGCCCGTTAAAGATATTTCCCATTCGCGTAATGTGATCAAATCTAATTTAGAGATTATAATCAGAATGAGAATGTCATCCTAATGCGTCGTGGGACGTTTTAATGCCTGAAGGGCATACAAATGTTTCGTGACGCCATCAGAGATTTTTCTAAGATCGACTGCGTTTTCCTTTGCCATTGACGGCAAATACATTATGGCCTTGACGTGAGTCTGAACGATGATACGCTTATTGTCGTAACGATCTTTGAGAATTGCCCACGCGACCTCGTAATTGGCGTCCGAAAGTTCTAGCGAACTGATCACAGCGCTCGCGTCGCCGGAGAATGATGCCCGTAGATATTGAAACCGCTGTGCATTAGAGAGAGAGGCGTTGGAGTGGATAACCGAGTTGAACGTGTCGTAAAACGGAATCATTCGTCATATTTACCCGCAAACGTCGGTAAATTCAGTTTAGGCAATCGAACATGCGTTCCGCGATCTGAATCCCGCACACTGAAGGAGGAAGAAGAAAAGATGGTAAACCTTCGGAAAGACTACTTCCCTCGAAAAAAAATCGTAACTATGTGTTTCCGATGTATTTTTGCCTCCTGATTACGAATATGATAATAAAATTTGGCGGTCGGACACATTGAAGCCGCTATCTTGAAAAACTCGCTGAAAAACAGATTTTTCCTGATTTTTTTGTATTTATCTTGAAAAGTACGAATGTGACAAAAAAATGTATCAAACAAAAAATGTAGAGCATATAATTCTCTATAAAAAAAGTTCTATGCATTTTTTTCGTAATCGCAAAAGGAAGCACATAAAACAGCGATGAAAGTGGATGAGCATAAGAATGACCAAATCGAATTAATGTCACTATTAGCTACGAAAACGTACCCAGAATGCGCCACGGGGAGGCTAGCGAC